ACGACAAAATAAAAAATATGTATCTATAATTTTTCATCATTAAAATTTAATCCATAAGTTATTATACTAATGGACTAAATTTTATATTTTTAATTTTCATACCCTGTCATCATCCCCATTATACATCTTTTAATGTTTCCAATGCTAAATCTTTTTTTATTATTCTATAACTGCATCTGATATATTTTAAAAGCAACAAAACTCAATCCTCTAAGGTTAGAGGTACAATCTTTGTTGATCTTCAAAAACAAACCGTATTATTTGTACAGGAAAGCTCTATTTGCACAAACAATTTCACACTATGATTCGATATTCTACAGAGACGATCCAATTGGGTTCCTTGTTGATATAACAATAGTAGCACGAAGAAATGGGGGTAGGCAGTGATGCAGGTCAGTATAAGTGTTGTTACCTGATCGAGAGCCACTCACGAACGAGTATTGGACTTCTATTTTAGTTTCACGCTATTTCAGGAAAGAGCGCTAACCTGAATGGAAAATCTTTACTTGTATAATATTGGAAGGTGTCTAGAAAATTTTTGTTTTACATCATCTTATCGTGGCCTCATCAAATGCCGTGGTGGCCCGGAGATTTAAGACGCCTTCTTCTCATGCATGAGGATGCGGGTTCGAAATCTACCAACGGCAAGAACCAATGTGACTTTTTCCGAGTTATACGTACTTTCTAATATCTAGACACCACTGACAAACGGTGAAGGAAAACATCGTGAGGAAACCTGGGCTTATAATTTCTAATTATAAGTTTATAATCGCCAACCCCCATTGAGCAAGCGTGGTGATTAATGCTCCAACCTTCTCCGTGTGAGAAGAGGCTTTGCTCAGCAGTGGCACTTATAGGCTGTTGATAACCTCATCTTGAATTATTTTCAATTAAGTAAAGGAATTAGTACGTAAGCAATATAGTGTGTTTAGATACACTATGGAAACTTAACCTTTATAATAGTAAATTTTGTTGATACTGTCTCTTCTGAACCTCATATGACATGATCAGTACACTGCTATACTATAGGTAATTGACTCTTCTGCAAGAGGATTTGCCATTATCTCGACGCAAGTAAGCAACTAGGTTGAAAGTCTAGCTTAAAAGGTTCACGTCTATCAGAGAGCTATGCCATAAAAGTCCTATTAAACTGTTGAAATATCTGAAAGATCATCCCCTAAATTTGTTCATACAAAAGTAGTCTCTAAACATTGGAAATTAGGTCTATAATGTGAAGAGAGCGAAGAGAGTGGAGAGTGGTCACCGGTGACCGCTTGGGGATATATGGGTTTAAAGAGTGGTCAAATATGTAAAACATTATCGCTTTCCACCAAGCGAGATAGTGGTCAAACGTAAGCCCATCAAATATAGAGATATATTAAAAAAATATGTAGTCCCTTGTTCACCTCTTACCGCAGAAGAGATAGGTAAACGTATCCGACTCTAACGTCACCACAGGTTATATATTGTTAACTAACCTCATACATTGTTACCTAATATAACCAGCCAACAATATAATTACTAACAAGCTTCTAGCCCCGTACTAAAACAACAGTTTATTGATATTTATAGACTAACTAATTGCTGTAGTCCACAAGGCAGTTGGTAGTATTCCCAACTATTATTATGTCTTGTTATTACTTGGAGTGAATGACACATTGAAGGCAAAGGCATATGTTAGGGTGGTGTTTAATTTATTGACCAATTTTGTCTTTATACATTCATAATAGCTAATATCAATAAGAACTTATTATATATAAGTGTGGAAGAGCCATGCTTCGGCACGAATGGGCCGGCTCGACCAGAGTGATACCACAGCCGAGCCGAGAAAACCGACGTGAAGCAACGCTTGCGTTGTATTTCGTCGTGTGAGTGAGGTTACCGGAGGCCCAATTACCCTCCCCTTCCCCAATCTCCCGGTTACATGTGCGTTACCGGCGTTTTGGGGTTAGGAATTTGAAGATCGTTGGGGATTTAGGGATTGGGGGGGGAGGGTAATTGGACCTCCTGTAACCACACTCACACGACGAAACACAACGCGAGCGTTGTTTCACGTCAGTCTTCTGTGAGGCCGTGGTAATACTCCGGTCGTGCCGGCCCATTCATGCTAAAAGACATAATTAATCAACCTGGAAATAAATTCGAAGAGTCCGTCGTGCTTGTTACCAATCGATGAACGATAGTATCATGAACAATATTTGTATGGCACAATTTATTTACACCTACCTACATTCAATATTAACAAGTTGTAAATGAGAAGCTAATTAATTAAAGGTCAATTTATAAATAAATGGTCAAAATAAAAACAGCTTTTTTATCAGTTCAGTGCCTCAGATAACTTTGGTCAACAACATTTAGGTTATGTTATTAAATTAATTATAAAAATAATTGTTCCCAGATCACTTAAAAGTATTATTGGGTAGTTTGATTTGCAAAATACGGGATTTTGAAATACTCCCAGGATTTATTACACTTATACAGCAAGAAGCGTATCACAATAATATTGTATTTAATTACGTGAGTACATTAAAAATATTTTTCACATTAAGTCATGTCACATATCGTTGAGTGCTGATCTAAAGACCAAATTGGAAGTGTTGGTCCTTCGATCCGACGATTGCGATAGCGTCAATTTTATATCAAAGGACTTCACAATTCTTTATTTGTGCAATCCTTAATAATATCACAATATATTCTACTTTCAAAGTAACAAACCAAAGTTATAAAGTGTCTTATCAGGCAACAGTATTGTCTCAACGGCCTACAAAATATCCTTGTACGCAGATACTCGACCCAGTATCCAAGGTCATCTATTTTTTCTTCCATATTTCAACACCCAACTTAAAATGTGTCCCATAAAAACATCTTTGGCAGAAGTTTTTTATTTATCAGATCTTGCAAGAAGGCAATATTGTCGCAACTGGCCGTAAACGCGGCTGGGACGTGAAATGGGACAATAGGACCAAGTTTGTAGGTAAAGAAAGGTTACTATGTTAGCGAGTGAGGGTTGATATGATGAATTGAATTATTGTTATTGTTATGAACATCGATTGTCGATGGAGGTCCATTATAATGATTGTTTGAAGTGAGGTTTTACTTCACTAGATACATCAATTCATAAATCTCTTTTGATCTTACTTCATAGTAATATTTGTGTGTAGAAAAATTATTGTATCTGTCAAATTGTTGTATTTAAATCAAAGTTATGAAATATCTCATTTTAAAACAAGGTCAGTCTGTTTCGTATCTCATGGAAGCTAAAATCGCTAAGTTCATAGTAAAGCCTAGATTCAAAGCTTTCTGCTCACGAATGTGTTTGATGAATTTCGCAAATAGTACGTAAGTAATATATCTTTGAATCTGCAGAATATTGTTTCAGAACATATTAATATCAAACTGTTGATATTGCTTCAATAACGTTCTTCTTATACTATCAAATAGCTTCACTTTTAAATTTATATTGTTGACGTTTAAAAGTGCCTTCGAGATCTAATTATTATTTTTTTAAACAGAACAGACTTCTCATAATATGTTAATTGTAAGCAATTAATCTACCAGAACTCACATTATCCACATAACCCGAAAAATAAAACCTAAGTACCTGATTGTCCAATTAAAACCTGGAAGCAATATTATAAATACTCCACAAAATAATAATTATACAAAATACTTTACAAGTACCATTTTATTCTTACGTTTGAATTTGAATTGCCAAGCCTGTTAGTGGGTTTAAACACGATCCATACATACGTCTCGGTGTTCCACGAAACGTATTGTAGTCGAATTACATGAGACTTTATTGAAATCCTAATAAAGTTTAGAATGTGTGGCTAGACACTGGAGATTTATTTGAAAGAAAATCCGGTACGACAAGAACGAGAAGAGATATAGTGAATAACTGTTATTTTCGGTTTCCAGCCGTGAGGTAGGATATTAGCCAGTTGAGCTCTCTGCTTGCCGTGGTTGAAATATTCCAAGTACTGAATATTCTTGCCTTAGAGAATCAAATGGATCCCAAACTCATAGCCTTCGATCAGGATAACATCGAGTCTACTCAGCCTCGAGGGAAAGACAAAATTTTAGGTACTAAGTACATGTTCCATGTACATGTATGATTCAGATCCTTAAAAAATATTGTGTAAAAATCGCTATTGTAGCCACTGACACTAACAAAATAATACTAGTAACTATAGCTACTTTTGTTCTAGTATTATAATACTAGGACAAAAATCACACAAATAACGCAAGAGGGAATGAGTAAATTGCTTTCGTTGTACTCCTTAATTATCTACAAAATACCTTTGATAATTAAAATAGACTAAGAACAATTATTTACAGTTGAATGTCACAGCAAACGTTCTGAGCAGAAAATAGGTCGTAGGCACTATAAATAGTATTCACTCTGAGCAGAACAATGCTAGTGATCATTATAAACTGAACCACAACCAGATTAAACAATTAAATAAACAATGCTCTATTTGTAAAGAAAATTGAAACTAGGAATCACAAACACCTTTCTTTTTACATTTACTTTATTTTTCCTTTCTGATCTCAAAGGTCCCAAAGCAGACATTGGGACTGAGATAGAGCAATTTTAGTAAAGCTCTTGAACTGGCGAGGCACGATACTGTTTCGATGCAGCCATTAAAATGTACAAACACGATTCCACTACCAACGTCGATCGCAAAATAGTTCATATTTAAAGTATACTGTCGACTTAGAGCCTTTGTAACAAAGGGAATAGCAAATTAATTGGTAAATGGATCTATGTTCTGTGTGTCAACAAAGTATGCTAGTACAGGAAACGCTATGATAATTTACTTTGACATTCATTCGTTTCCTACAGTTAATCGCTTTAGAGCGTCCAGGGTATTCAGTTCGTATAGGGTAAACGATGGAAAACTTTTCATTAATAGAATAAAGGGAAGGTAAAAATAAATACATTAACTTCGGTCACAAATCTATAAACATTTTATTTACAAACGAAGTCAGGTGGTAATTTAGTACAAGTAGCGGCCGTAGGGGTAGTGGGATCCGTAGCTGATAGCTCCGAACTTGGCGAAACCGTAGGGAGAGGCGTAAGAGATAGGAGCAGCGATAGCAGGAGCGGCGTAAGAGATGGCGGGAGCGGCGTAGGAGATGGCGGGAGCGGCGGCGATGAGAGCGGGGTCCTTGCGTACGACAGCGTTGAAGCCATTAGCACCAGCGGCGTAGTCTACAGTCCGGCGGGTGCCGTCAGACTCCAGCAGAGAGTACTGGCCAGCAACGTTGTTGTCCACGCGGTTCTCGATCTGGTGCTTGAAGTCACCGGTGTAGGGGTCCGCCACGCTGTACGCGAAGCTGGACAGGTCGCTGGCGTTGGCGACCGCCATCAAAGCGAGGAGTGCGACGAACTGAAATTAATACATCAACAATATAAGAGCGAACTAACTAGAGAATATCGAGAAATTATAGATAAATCAGTTCATCAATCTAATCTGTAATAGGATTTGCATCTATAGAAAATTTAAAAGCATTGAACGGAATTCAATGTAGCAGGTAAAACGCTCGCTTTTTAATATCTTCGTGGCTAATCATGAATAATAAATTTGAAATTATTACCGAAGCTATTTATAAAGAAACTCGATGATTGAAAGCTTTTAAAAATTACGATTTATCCTTTGGAAAGTAAAATCAAAGACTTATTTACCTTCACGAACATTTTGCTGTATTGTTGTTGTGACTACGTCTGACACAAAACTGATGCTGATTCTTCTGGTATTCCCTGTTTATATATTAAATGTATAATCCAGTTTTGTAGAATCAGGAACTCAATGTCCAAAACAAGGTGCTCTTGAATTGATTATGGATTGAATAAGATTGTCTCATTACTCTTGACAGGCGCACTTTCGTTCGCAAATAACAAGACCTTGAATTTTAAAGTTTAAGTGAAGTATGTACTTATGTAGTTTACGTTACTATATTTAGCGTCATGTTTTATATTTTTTATTAATATTGCTGTGACATAATTATATTATCCTCGTTTTTATCTCTGTTAAGCTTAAAACTTGTTATGAGCTAAAAATAAACTGCACTGTTATTCAGTGTAGTTTTAATCAATTTTATAATGAGAGAAGTTATCAAAACTCGCATTCTTTATACTATAGTTAAGAAAATATTAATTTATACTTGATAAGTATCCTGTACCCTCTCATGCCATTGCAGCGGTAAGTCCCCTCTTTGAGGAGTGGCTTGAGAGACGCTACGGCGTCCTCACCTACCGCCTGACGCAGGTCCTCACCGGACATGGAAGTTTCGGGAGGTACCTGTGTCTGATGGGGCGGGAGGAAACGCCCGGGTGTCATCACTGCGAGGACCGCCCTGAGGACACGGTGGAACACACAGTGGGAGAATGCCCTGCGTGGGCTGAGCACCGCCGTGCCCTCAGGGAAGTGATCGGCGATGGCGACCTCTCGCGTCCGGGCCTAGTGCAGGCCATGATGCGGAGCGAGGGGGACTGGGATGCCGTCTCCTCCTTTTGCGAAGCAGTCATGCTAGCTAAGGAGGAGGCGGGACGCGTGAGGCAGCGAAGCGCTGCCTCCTCGCAACCCAGCCATCGCGAAGGACACACCGGGCGTCGGGGATCGCGGGACGATCTCCGGCCACCGTAAGCGCGGGCCTGCGGACGGCGAGCATGGGTGGCTCCCCGTCCGACCAGAAACAGACCCGAGCGTACGGCGCGTCGCGTTCCGCGCGCGCCTCAAAGAGCCATCAGACCACCACAGAGGCCCCCCAATAGGGCCGATGCCGATTCGGAGTCGCGGAGAACCTAACGGGTAACCGGGGCTCCGGCTCGACGTGCAGGAGAAGGAACGGGGTGGTTTTTAGTCAGTAAGAGTCTGACACTCCCTTCCGCCTCACCCAGGCGGGAGCAGTCATTCGATGATTTTCCCCCCCTTAAAAAAAAATAAAAAAAACCCTCTCATTATTTTCAAGAAAAGTACCTACAACGATTAAAGATGTATGTATCTATAATAATTATTCATTTTATAGCATCTGTTGAGCTCAACCTGTTAACGTAAATAATTAATTACCTATTGAAAATGTAATTTCCAACAACTTGAACTTGTTCACTATTTGTAATATCAACCTAATTGACATTACAAATGAATAATTTGAAACTATACATACATAGGTTAGTACTTTCTGCCTGAAATGTCCACTGTCACGTGTAGGTACTATCATCGATCACTCTCAATTTAGGCACTAGAAACAAATACTCAATGCGTATCATTCATCATGGTTGACACACTATATTGAGCTGGAAAGACTGGACAGTGGGTGCAATTAAAATAATGGTCCAGGTAGAATAGCTCTATGTTTGGAATCCAATGTTTTTTAGACATAAGTGTGGGAGAGCCATGCTTCGGCACGAATGGGCCGGCTCGACCGGAGTGATACCACGGCCTCACAGAAAACCGACGTGAAGCAAAGCTTGCGTTGTATTTCGTCGTGTGAGTCAGGTTACCGGAGGCCCAATTACCCTCCCCTTCCCCAATCTCCGCAATTCCTGAATCCCCAACGATCCTCAAACTCCTAATCCTCAAAAGGCCGGTAACGTACTTGCAACGCCTCTGGTGTTCCAGGTGTCCATGGGCGACGCCGATTGCTTACCATCAGGTGATCCGTCTGCAAGTTTACCGGCTTATGCCATAAAAAAACCTAAAAAGTGCTAAATTTATGATCTCAAAATATCTGTGATAGCACGATTGGGGCCATGTCTGGGCAACTGGGTGTCGCGCAAGGTGTCGCGGGTTTGATTCCCGCACGGAGCAACTCTTGGCGTGATCCACAAATTGTTGTTCCGGGTCTGTGTGTGGATTTGTATGTTTGTAAACGCAACCACGACACAGAAGAAAATCCTAGTGTGGGGCAAGGTTTTTTAAAAATAAGTTAATATTTGTGTTATTCAACAAGATGTTGAGTCTGTAAGTTAAGAGAAATATGCCAGTATTCCATAACTAAGAAGACTTTTAAAGCGGTATTTTAATAGTGGTATACTATTTTAAAACTAGACATTTTGTTCAGATAAATCTGTATATTCAACAAAGGTATATGTCCAGTTCTACCTAGATCTAGACAGAAATTCTTTTATAAAATCCCCATCTACGAACAGCAATTCTGGTTGCCGTAAACATTTATGAGGCGATCTTAGCGCAGCTATCATAAATATACGTTAGAATAGACCGTGGTTAAGGGTAAAGTGTTTCGTTTCGGACTAGACAGAATCATAGTACCTATATGTGCTAACTGCATGTGTGTCGTGGCGTAATAAACGGTTTTTCTTTCTTTCTTTCTATTGTTGGTATGTTACTACTACATTGTTTGTTATATTTTAATGCTGAGTGTATGATTAAGAAAATTGTGTTTAAATTTGGATTCTGTAATTTCGGTAGTTTGAGATCTATGTTTATTGCGATGCCATTGCAAGAATTTGATTCATAAAGTAAAAGATTTATTTAGTATTTAATTTTCAGTAGTAGCACGGAGTCTGGAACTGTGCCCGATATATGGCAATAGGCTCACCCCCTATTACATGGGAATCATAACATAAATAGTGAAAAGTGGGTGTTACATTGTACAGTGGTATAATGTGCACCTCTGCCTACCCCTTCGAGGATAAAAAGCGTGATGTTATGTTATGATGCCTATAGTTTATTTTAGTCATAAATGAACTTCGATGCAACGATCACAGAAGCGTAGTCAGCAAGCAATTTGTTATGCCAAAATTGTCGGTCAGACGGGAAGCGCTGTAGAAGCGCCTAGTCTATTTGTTATAGCAACTACTTTGATAGCAACATTTACTGCTAGTTGTAACAGACAAGGGAGTTGTATCGAGTTGTTTTTGCGGAATGAGTTTGTGTTTGAAATTCGGAGGTGTGTGTTGTCATCGTGTCGCTGTTGCAATGCAACTACAGAGCGACATGTTAATGTTGTTTGTATGTTATGTAAGTTGTGAAGTTGGTATCTATACGACTACGTATTTGCAGAATGCTGCAGTAGATGCTTTCTATTTTAAGTTAAACTTCGACATACTTCTGTGTGGTTGGTTGTATTTTGGACAACGTAGATTCAGAGTATTTTCTAAAAACCCGGTAATACTTTGCTCGACGCGGCAATCGTGCCCAAGACATCTTGCCCCTATTTTGAGTATCGTGTAAAAGGCATACAAAGCAGTGTCATGTATACGTGATACTAGATAAATATATGAATAAATAAATAAATAAATAAATCATTTATTCAAAAAATATAAACAGAAATTTCGTATGTCTTAATTCTATATTCTTATTGCTATGTTATGCCATGTGCCTGAACTAGGTTTGAAACCTGTACCTCAGGCAATAAAAATCGCTTAGCATAGAGAACTTAAGGTCTAATTAACAATAATTATATAATCATTCTTATATTAAATTATTTGATTACTCAAATTATACCCATATATATATATAGAAATGTATACCTAATCACTTAATAAATTAACTTGTTTCTAATTTTATTTACATACAGTCAGCAAAAATTCGGTCTGGTCATAAGTCAGTTGTTGCAAATATGTGCTGACACGTTTTTTGCATTGATAGCAATTCAAGTTGTAAATACAAAGTTGCTTATTTAGCCTGTTATATAAGTAGGGTCCTAGAAAACTATAGAATTTATTACTGTACATAAATTTTGAGGTCGAGTGCGAACTGCAAACTATATCATTTCGTCTCTTCTTTACAGTGTTGGTATCATAAGGGATCTGCGTGTGTTGCTTCAATATTACTTGCGTTATGTATAGTTGCCTTACAGTTAGTACCTTACAGGATTTGTATAGTTGTTCTGTGGGGAACAGGAAAGGATAGGAGTGTGCTACTTTTAATATTGCTCTCTGTGCTCGTTCCAAAGACAGCATAGAGGTTTTAGGTACACCACCCCATGAGGTAATACAATAAGTGATAATGGACTGACATAGTGCCATGTACACTTGAGTTATTAATTTAGTATCGGCAATTTTTCGCAATATTTTAAATACAAACATCAGTTTGCGTACTCTGGATACCAAACTCTCAATGTGTAGCCGGAAAGAGAGTGTGTCATCAATAATGATGCCTAGATATTTTATGTGACGAGTTTTGAGGATTTTAGGACATTCACAGGAGTATGTCGAGAGGGCATTACATTTATGCACTGTAAGTTCAGTGTTAGTAGTGTTAGTTTGATTATTACGCATGGAAAAGAGCAAGTACTTTGTTTTGTCAACATTTAGTGTTAGTAAATTGTAGTTTAGCCAGTTATTTACAGAATTAAATTCCCTCTGAGCGTTCTCATAGAGTTCTGTGATTGTTTTTGCGGTAAAAATAAGCGCTGTGTCGTCTGCATATGATATTATTTTTCCGTTTTGTATGTTTACATTACAGAGATCATTAATATAGATAAGGAAAAGGGTTGGGGCGAGAATACTACCTTGTGGTAATCCAAAACCATGGTTCCCTCGGTCTTCACTTGTGGTCGTATCAATTCGAACACATTGAGAGCGATCATTTAGATAGTTTGTTAGTAGTGTTAGTTGTGTGCCCCTTATGCCTATTGCTTCCAATTTATGTAAAAGAAGAGGAATAGAATGTAGCATGACTGTGCAATAAAACAATAACTCTCAGTAACTTGGACTTGAAGTCTTTTTTC